ATCGATACCGCCGAGTAGTTTCGACCGCGGTGCTCCGGGAATTAGAGCGAGCCCGCGTGCGATACTTTAATCGCCTTAGCCTCCGAGCGGTCCAAGTGTCCCTTCGAAATGAATACTTACCGGATATCAGACGGATCACGACGCACGGCGTTGCGCAAGCCAGGTGTCGGGACGCGTATTACAAATTAGCCGGTTCCAAGTGAATATTCCCGACTTAAATCGAAATGTGCCTGCTGTCGGAGATTATGGTCGGACCCAGGGGGGGACGGAGGGGAATGCAATTTCGTCAGCGGCTCGAAAAGAGGGGGGAAAAATGCGATTCCATTACTCTCCAAGGGCGCAACGCTCCCGTAATTATCTTACGGCGGGAGGACGAGGCCGGGGGGCCAGGGACGACAACGAATCCGCGGCCTCTTTTCTCGTAATTAGTTTTCCACGGTTTGTTGGCCCGGACTTCCTATCGGTATCGGTGGATTCTTAACTTTCTACCCGGCGGTTAAGTCACCGCCTAAGACCGGATCTCCGGAGGATTCGGCCGGCTAAGGCCGGGCGCTGAGCTCGCTCGAGAAAAAAAAATATGGTGTCGTCGATCAAAACAGGAGGACGAGGGGTCGAATCGAATAGACGCGGCGAGTCACCCGGCTCGTTAAGGGCAGGTTCCGGCGGAGAACTTCGAAAAAATCGTCCTTTCCTTTCGTTCTTCAGTTTTTATAATACGATGCCGTAGCAGAACGTGCAGTTGAAAAGAAATTTCCAAATGCGTTAAAAATGACCGAAGTGGCTTTTAAAGTGGCAGCTGCCGCATTTTTCATCGCGTGAAACTTTGAACGCGTTCTCCTCGAAACGTCGCTTTTCGAAGTGCTGGGGCAAATATCTCTTTTGAGTTCTTCTTTGAATTCTTTTTAAGCAAAGAATATATAATTCTCCGCGATCAGCGAACCGTTAACCCTTTGCAGTCGGAGACATTTTAACACGATATCCAAAATAGCTTTTTTTACTTATAGTATTTTTTTTTTTTTATAAGTAAGTATAAGTAATATGGTTCAAAGCATTAATAAATATATCAAATATACTGCGGGTTATAACCAGGTTGTAAAAGCTTTGTACTTAATAAATAAACGATATGGTTCGAAGCATTAATAAATATATCAAATAGACCGCGGATTTTATGCATTTCTGGCAAAATTCTGTAAGTGCAATTCCATATCGTAAAAAGATTAAAAGAATTAGAATATGTCAACGTATGATTTTCAATCCATTAAAACCATCGAATAATGAATGAACTTCCTTATTAGTTTCTATTTCTTCCAACTTATCCGGACGATTTTTATTTTGTACATATGAAACTTTTAACAGTTCTTAAAATGTAAACAAATTTGGTAATGTTACAATCACTTTGAAACGTGATATAACAATTTTTAACCCTTTGCACTCGAAGCTATTTTAACTGTAAATATAAAATCATTTTTCTAACTTACAGTGTTTTTATTTTATATGGCAAAATGCATGTTATGCACATGAAATTGACTCTTGGGAGTCACGCAACAATTACACTCCTAACAATTTTTTAAATCTAAACTTTGAACTTTGAAAACTTTAAAATCAAATTTTAGTGGTGCCTCAGAATCACCACTCGAGTGCAAAGGGTTAATAGCGCTTTAGAGTCGCCACTCGATCACAACGAGGTTAATATCCCAAGTTCTTCAAATTTACTAAATTTTAAGGAATGTGGAAGCATATTCGACTTCAAAGCGCCAGAAAATTCTTAAGAGAAATATCTTTGTACACTTTCATAAATTCACAGCCTCGTAAATACCATGCAGCTTAAGAATATATTTGATCTTTTGGATTTACAATCGAGGAGCTAAGCATCCCAACCGTTCAAAGAGACGTTCCCATTTCTCGACAACCCCCATAGAATGAAGTCCGTCCAATTTCGATAGATAAACCAAAAAAATTCTACAATTTTTCCTATGCCAAAAAGATGTGTAATGAACTGTCGCAACCCTAGATTATCATCTCATTTGCTTCGATTGCAAAGAAATCCTAAAAATGATCTATTCCTATATCGGAACCTGCCATTAAACGTTCGCGTGTTCCCGTCGTTTTTATCGGGAATCGGAAGAGCAGAGGGATCTCTGTTGGAACCGTTAGCAACAGTTCGGATTAACTGTCGTTCTTCTTGCCGTTGGCTGCCGGCTCGAAGTCCACGGTTATCTCCGTCAGGAAGGGAGAGTTCGAAGATAACTAAGTTGCCGTCCCCGAGGAAGACACGGAAGATTGCCGGCATTGTTGTTAGCGGAACGGCGATCTCGTTTCGATCGTTCTTTTCAATGTCTCTCGGAACCCCATTAGACGCGCTGCCACGGTAGATACGTGTGTGACTCGATGGAAAGTTGAAGCTGTTTCGGGATCGGTCCGCAGTCAATTCGGTCCCGCCAGCTGTTAACACGGCCCGGGTACAATATCGGTGTACGAATTAGCCTGACAACGTCAACGGGCGTGTCACGCGTATCGGACGACATTCCCGCAGCTATTAATTTCCAGGTTGATCGAGCGACTGGTAAATAGCGACGCGCGGCATGCTGCGAATCATGTTAGACATTGTGTGACGGAAGTGCCAATAGGAAGCCAAACAGCCGCTCGAATCCGTGTCCTGTCCGTCGGCGATCGGGAAACCCCGAAATTTCTTCGGACCAATGAAATAATCGTCCCATCGTGCACGTACGTGCACGCGTGCGAAGGATCGATCCCGGAGGACGGGCAAGCGCAGAGGCAGGATCGATCGCGAATCCTCTGCTCCTGCTCGCATGGAATCACCGGGATTTAGCCGAGGCTCTCTCTATTGATAAATCGTCTCGTTCCCGACCGACGACGCGCAAACGAGGGTCGACGCGGGGATCGAGGCTAATCGGAAGGACCGAACGGCGCGCGGCTCGCTTCTTTTCGCACCTCCGGAAAAGTTTCACGGGAAACAGGAGAGGTGGTTGTTCGACCGGATCTGCGGCGTGACCGGAATTCGATCCGATGCCGCGCCGCTCCGGTTTTATTTATGCCCGTCGCGGATCCACAGACACGGAAAGTTTATTCCCGATTAGGGCTCCGGACGCTTTTGAACCCTCGACGACGGAATTAACCGGCTGCGCTCGGCCGAATAGACGAGCAACGAATCGACGGCTCTTCTTCTGCACAGATCTACAGGGTGTCCCGTAATTATGTTAATACCCAGTAAGGGGTGATTCTTGAGGTTATTTCAAGTAACTTTTTCCTTAATGGAAATGCAATCCACGGCTTTTTTTTCGTTTACGAGTTATTAACGAAAAACAGTGACCAATGAGAAGCAAGCTCGGCTGGCGCGAAGCGACCGAGCCAATCAGCGGAACCGGGCTTCGACCGCTCGTTGGCTCGGCCGCCGCGCAACGGCTGATCTCGCCTCTCATTGGTCAGTGTTTTTCATCGATAACTCGTAAACGAAGCCGCGGATTGCATTTTCGCTAAGGAAAAAGTTACTCCAAATGACCTCAGGAATCATCCCTTTCCGGGTGATAACATGATTATGGAACACTTTGTATAGCGATACTCGTCGAGAATAAGTGAGCTAAGTTTCGCATCGAAAGTCGAAGTATTTCGGTAGATAGAATCCAGGGAAGAGAAACGCGTCGCGCTGATATCCGGACGCGCGGCGACAGCGCATTTCGTGCTCGTTGTTTCGAACCTGGCACGTCGTTTTGTCACGGAAAATGCTTACCGTAGCAGGTATCAGTCAACGTTTATGACCAGGGAATCCCAATTAGCGATTCATCGAAGGTAAAACGAGCCCTGTTTCGAGCCGGTTATTGCGAATCGTTCGAATTCCGGCGTAAAAATTGTGGAAATCGTCGCGTTCGCTGCTACAAGTGTCTTCAACGAACGGTATATTTCCATTTTCAGAGCGACGAATACTTTAAACATCACTACCGGACACCAATCCTAATTTTTCGTCGACATTTGCGACGCGAATGGCGAGCCAAAAGCGTCGCCGGCTAAGCGCAACGAAAGAGGCTCGAACAGCTCGCAGACAACAGATCCAGCAAAATGAGCTTAACGAGGAAGCAGAAGAGATGCTGTGTAACGGATTAGCCGCTGACTGCAGTAAGTTTCAAATAACGATGACATTTTTTTGATACGGAAAACATGTCTCCAGGTTTTTTGCACACGATGAAGAAAAAACTATTCGACCGATCGGTTTCTCCGAGCACTTTTCGATTAGATAATGCTTAACCATCGTAGATGAACTGAACACGTTTATAAAAATATTAAGTTGTAGGCTGAGTCGATTTTTTGCACTAGAAATCGTAATTTTTTCTTAAAATCGTCGTATCTTTTCGAGTTATCGCTTTCTCCGAAAATTTCTTAGTTCATCATCGATAAAACTTCATCTAGAATAATATTCGTTTTTGTAGTTGACGCAAAAATTGAATGCGCCGAGTTGTGCGCAAACGTTAAGAAACATTGTTGTTAATACAACAATTTTGTTGCACGATAGAACTCCATTTATATGAATTAGACGGTGGACAACCAGTTCGAATAACCAGGTAGGAGTCCGCTAATTATTTCCACTGCTTACAATTTTTCGTAGAAATAACCAGAGTCCGCGGTGAAACAAATGAATTTAACCAAACGCTTAATTCGTTTCTCAAATGATAATATTTAAATACCAGGTGTTCGTATAATTGGAGTAGCGCTCGACGGTGGTTCGCTGAATTGGACATCGCCCGAAATTCCGCTGCAATAAACGGAGTTCCGTCGCGCTGTCGAAAAGTTGAACAAGAGCCCCGTGAAGTTTTGAGAAGTTCGGCTCGCAGCCGTCGAGACAAAAAAAATCTTTAAAGAACCACAGATGTTTCAACGGTTCGAGCCAGGTTCCTCCCTTAATCGGCCATTAAACGGCGCTGCTCGCGCGCGTCTCCTTTTCAATCTAAGAAATTAATTGAACGGTTCTCGCCGTCGATAATACTTACGGGTTCCATCGAAGCGGGTCGCGATCGTATCTAGGAAAGTATTCTGTGGGGCGAGGAGGCCCTTCCTGACCGGCATTGGGGCCGCCCCGCCGCGCTGTCAGGCGCTCCAATCTGCAAAAACCGAGAGCAAACGATCGTTGCAGATTAACACCGGTCAGCGTTGTTCGCGTTCTGTTGTTCGCGGCCCGGAACACGCGTCAAACTTACGAATTAATTACGCTCCGTCGACGCGTTTCGTGTGCACGCTCGCGCCCGTGCGCGCGCGCGCGCGGAGCTCTCTCGGGCCGGTGCCGAAATAGAAATCGCCCCGTCGCGGAGAGCGCGAGTTTCGCGCGGCCGGAAATTTATGCAACGAGAAAAAGGCGAAGTTTTTCGATAGGTAGGTCAGTGGTCCAAATGAAAATAAAGGATTGCGTGCAGCACAGCGCGCGGCGTTGCGGTGATAGATGATTACGGGCTAAGCAACGCCGCGCGGCTCGGGACTCCGCTATTTTTAGACCGGCAGCTTTTTTATTTAACACGCTCGTAAAATAATTCGAGGTAATTTCGAACGAGCGTGTATCGGCCCGCGGCGAGCCCGTCCGCGGCGGCCTGCAGAAACGCATTTACAGAAAACACACCGGTCCCGTTCAGAAGCCCCGGAAAGTCGACGATATTCATAGCTTTTCATTATTGGACAGTTCTATTGTTACACGCGTAGAGCTCAATGGTATTCTTGATTCCTGGAATTAATCCAACCGAAGTTACACTTTTCTTTCATTCAAGGTACATTCTCGGAGATAGCCGTTGCCATTATACGTTATAATTGAATGTCCTTCGGCGTCGTGGCCGCGGACGATCGCAATTTAAACGACGCGTTGCCCCGGCTCGGCAATATTTCTGGGAACGTTATGCGCCGCGCGTTAAAACGTTATTAACCGTGTTCCTCGCGAATTGCATTGGAAAATCGATGGAAAAAAAAAGCAGAAACATTTTCGACCACCGGCGAACGGGGCGTAGAACGACCGAACGTTTCGCGACTTGATTAATCGTTCGCCCGCCCGCGGAGAAGTTCAAACGACCGTGCAAAAAAATCTTCGGGAAAAGCGAAATCGAAACCGTCGAATTCGCGTGTCCGGTCGAATCGGTGCTCGCCGAGTTACCCTCCCCGAAAATATTCGTTTTAATCCGCGGTTTCGATTCGCGCCATTACTCTCGCGTTTTTACGGCCGATTCGGCCGTGCAACGTGTTATTTCGTCCGCTCGCGAGCACGAGGCAGGCCCCCGCCGCGCGTTCCCTCTCCGATTTCGCCTGCAAGACGGACACAGAGATTCCCAGCAATGTAACAGGTGCGAGGAGAGGATGACACCGTATAGGACGTTCCGCGATGCATTCCCGTGCTCTTCCTCCGCGGAATCGTTTGTCAAACGACACCCTTCTCGCGCGTTACCGTCGGAAATACGAATCGCGAGCGGTATCGCATGAACTCCGCTCTTTCCCCGAACTTCGCTTCTGTCTCGCGCGAGTAATTCGCCAAGATTACGGCGAAACGACGCGCGTTGCAGCAACGAGCGCGGCGTCACGGCCGAAACTGCTGCCGTTTCGTTTCGACGTTTCGACGTCGAGTTCGAGTGAAGATTTCCCGATAAAAACCGCGAGAAGCGTGCCCGCGAAAGCGCGACGGAAGCACACGTCCGCCAGCGATTTGATCGGTGAAACGGGGTTTCGCGGCTTTTCTAATGGGAGCGCCGACGGAGCGTGAAACGCGAGGCGATCATCGGCGGTCGATCGGCGGCTACAGACCTTCTCGAGAAAAAAGTGGTAGCTCAGTGGCTGAGCATGTTGGGCATCGTCGGGAACATTACTCCTGGCTTTATCCTGATATCCTGGATCTTGGCGCACGCAATCGTCGCACACAAAAATCGTGAAAATCGCACAACCGGTCGCGTCGACGGAGCGGAGTGGTCGGGAACGCTCGCGGTCCCGGTCCCGGTCCCAGTCCCGGTTCCGATTGCTGCGGGTGACTTCGTATTATCGCGAGGAACGCATCGGCTGCGAGGTTCGAACTCGGGACACGCGGAACGCTCGCTGGTACTCGCGTAACTGACCGAGCCGAGGGGAGAGATTCTCTCTATCCTGATGGCCCGGGCTCCTGGCTGACTTGCGCTTCGCGCACCAAGGCGCAACATGTGGTAAAGCGTTGAAGGTATACGCGCGCACACCCACGCGCTCCTGTACGTGCAGCCGAGAACGGGGGTGTATGCCGATAAGAACACGGGCACAGAACTGTGTAACCTGCACACGCACGCGCGCTGATTATTCCCAAACGCGTGTGTACCGCCAGCCATGAAACAGGGTCAAGACACCGAGCCGAGGATCAAACGCGTTCTGGGGACCAGCAAAAGTCTTCGACTATATTCCGCCTACGGAACCGTCGATACTACTCCGCCCGTCCCGCCGAGCCTGAAAAAAAAACGCAGGACGTCGTCCTACGCGCGGTTACAAGCCCGCGTAATTAGGGGAGAGGACCGTTTGATCGTCCGGTGTTTGCGATCCATCGATCAGGGACGGCGAGCAAACGACGGCTCCTTCCGCCCGGCGGAAAGTGAAACGTACTCCGGCTAATAACGATCTTCCACGACTTTTTTCGAACGAGTTCTCGCGGCTCGTTGTTTCACGGGCAACGAGCGATGCAAATGCGCGCGTAATCTCGCGCGCGCGCGGCCGTTTTTCCCACCGCGCTGCTGAGACGATAATAAAAGATTATGATGGACGTTAACTCGACGACGGCTTTATGAACCAGCGCGGGGATAGGATATACCCTCGACGAACCACTTTCGAGATGCTTCGGGGACAGGCGCCGTTTCGAGGCACCGTTTTAAAATCGTCCGCAACAGCGGCACCGCATTATCATTCGCACGCGGCGACTCTAAATTCCGGCCGCCTCGTTTCCCCGCTGGCAGCCGAAGCGAAACAGCTGGTTCCGAAAGAAACTCGCGGCGAGCGGGGATGGAAACGGACCGTAGGATAATATCGAACGTCGCGCACGTAACGCGTTACGGGACCGTTATGAAACCGCTGGATATCCAAGGATATTTGATATCCGCGGCTATCATCGAGCAGAGCTACGCAGAGCGGTTATACTGTCTCGCGTTTGCCGGCATAAAGGAATTCGTTGTACCTTTGGTACGCGAATTCTCTCGGCCAGGAATTTCACCGACGCGGCGGGTTCCCGTAAGATTTTCATCCGTTTAAGCGGCTTCCGCGCGGAAACCGTGCGCGGCCGCGGCGCGCTCGCGAAAAAAAAACTCGAAAAACTCGCTCGCGAGAAACGGTCTCGCGCGGAACGGTCCCGCGAGAACAGAGCCCGCCGAAACGATTTCGATCGTTTATCGGGCGGCGATCGATCGGGCCGCGGCGCGGAACATCGGGTCGGCTACGAACCGCCGCGATAAGCGGAATAATGCTGGCCCGGATGGAAATCCCGCGGAATTAGCATCGCGGTGATTTCGTGCACGGTTTCATCGACCTTTTTTCTCCTGCCGGCGCGGTGGCGGCGGACTGTCCGTGCAAGCGGACGCGCATGTATGCTGAATGAAACGTTAACTCAGGTCAGTTTCGTAGTATTGTAGAATATGGCCGCGCCGGAGGGGGTCGATGACTGTATTCGCGTGTTAGTTCCTCGTGAACAGGCCATGCAATCTGTAGGCGTTCCCGATATAGATCGCTGTAGAAAAATCTTCGTCGCCACCGTTCCCAAGATTGCGCATCGAACGATACGCGGCGACGGCTTACGACGCGAGCGTCTCGCCGCGACGCAACGCGGGCGTCGTCGCGACGTCGACGACGCGGCAACGCGAGGGTTCCTCCTTGATGAAAAACCACGGCGTACCCTCGAAATGGATGTTCTCTGTTCGGGCCTTTATCCACCGGGAGTCTTTCCGAGCCCGCGGCCATGTTCCATCCCGATAAAGCGATATCCTCGAGGAAATTCATGGGGTTTCGTCGGGACGTGGGAAAATTAGATCCGCGCGCGGTCCGGGAGAATGCAATTCGAGGAGAATCTGGGATCCGCGAAGGAGAAGCCAGCGAACGCGGGGAGAACCGAGCCGACGAATTCTTCTCGGTCGTCGTCGTCGTCGTCGTCGTCGTCGGCTCCCCCTCGAGGTAATCAGTAGCTTTTAACCGAGGTGAAAAAGCGAGATTCTTTAAGCGCGACGCACGCGAAAGGCAGAACCGACTCCGCCGGCCTATATTTCAAGCACGAATCAAGCGGCCGCGGGAATGCGCTCGGCGGAGCAGATTGCGCCCACACGTAATATCAGACGCTTTTGTCGGTCGCCACCCATTTTCCGGAAAAGATCCGAACTCATCGATCGGCCGCAACGGGTGCTCGCTCGGTCAAAGTCCATTCGGATTTCTTCTCCTCTTTGTCTCTTTCATTTTCTCGGTCGCCGGTCTCGGAGCGGCTCCACGGCCCGCGATCTATTGTCCCGGAATCGCTTTTCCCCGATATTCGCTACATTTCCAGAGCTCGCCGCGCGCAAAAAAAAAACAGACGGGCCTCGCGTGCGCGCGGCGTTGCATACGAGTTTACGCGGCCCTTCGATTCGCAATTTTCCCCATGTTTTATTCATCGCGGAGCGATTCTCGTGTCGCGAGAGGCTCGCACGAGGGAGAGACCAGAAACGCATCGGCGAGATGACGACGACGACGACGACGACGACGACGACGGCGGCGGCGGCGGCGGGCTACGGTAACAATAATCGATAAAAAAAAAGTGTCTGTGCTGCACGAAAATTGTCAGTGTCAGTGGGTTATCCGGGCAGCACGGCGTACAGACGGCGCGTGGTCACGAAGCAGGGTCCATATAATCGATACTCCACTACTTCGAGTACCTGACTCGGTCCGTAGGGAGGGACGGAGGAAAGGAGATGGATTCAGATAAAAAAAAGAGGTAGAAAGATACTGACGGAGGGTACCCTCCGCGTTTACCCTCCCGTTTCGTAGCCGGCTCGGATCTCTCGGGCTCTCTCTCTCTCTCTCTCTCTCTCTCGGGCTCTCCCCTCATCCCCCAAGGAATGCCGGAATAATAAGAAGCCGTTCGCACGAACGACGCGAACATTAACGAGTCCGTTTCTTTGGAAACTTTTCCCCGGCGCGGCGGTTCTGCTCGATTTTTCTCTTTTACACGGAAAAAAAGAAACAACCTCACCTCCGTAACCTTCCGCGGGATACATATTTATACCCTCCCCGTAAACGCACACTCCCGCGATGCGTGAAACATAGTTTTCCCACCGAGAGCACACGAGACGCGTCGGATACGTGCCGTGCACACATCGTGGACACAGCACCGCGCGCGCTGTATAAGCCACGAGCACGGCGAAATCGTGCTCGGCTTTTCTTGGACGTTTTGTTCCTTTTCCGCTTGTATTTCTTTAAAGTCGACCGGCCGTGTGCGCGTGTAACTGTCCGTTTAATTAAAGCTTTTGAAACGACCCTCGAATGCTCCCGCCGAAGCTCCCCGGCCGGGGTTCTGCACGCGTCCCGAACGCGGCGGCATATGCAGTTTGTTTAAGCGGCGTTGTATTAAAAATTTATTCACGGCGTCGCGTCCGGATTCAACGGGCCCGGTGTTTTTAACCCACTGTACCGTGAAATAGGCGCGGGGAAAGCCCGATTTATGAAAAGCTTATACATTATTCAGGTACATGCAAAGCGCGCGCGGATTTGGTGTTCGATGGGGAGAAAGATTCTTCATCGGCTGGTAAAATGTAAACGATTTGCAAACGCGTGTTTGCCGGCTGTTTTTCGCGGACTGTTTCCCGAGCGTTTCCCGGGGAAAATCGGTTCGCTCGCAGTGCTGTATCGGAATTTCCATAAATCGTATCCTTTCCTAACTAAAATTAACGCGCCCGAGGATGCGCCGACGTCTCCGGGGGGAGGGGGAGGGTTTGAGATATTCATCATTGCGCATTTCGAAACGCTTATTTTTAGCTGGAACATTGAATACGCGAACGCGTCAGCCTTTCGGCTGCACTTCTAGGTCGGACGAGAAATTGCTTTCAGGTTAAAGCTCTTCACAGACTAAAGAACTTATTACATCGTTCTGCAAACAGCGCCGGTCTTTCTAGGCAAGAATTTATCTCTCCTCCAGGCAGATACCTGTGTGGCATCTCGAGTTCCTAATAATTCTTCCGAGCGCCTCCGTCGCCGTCGCCGTCGCCGCCGCCGCGTACCCTCTTCTTCGATTTCTCCCATCGATCGCGATTCACGCGATTCGCGAATCGGATCGAAAGAACGTCTGTCGGAAGTGCGATCGTCTGAAACGTTTGACGGGAGGACTTTACTCAATCGAGGAACAGTGGGTGGCACGGAAACTCGTTTATCGTGACCGGCGTTGCATTTTTGAGGCGCGATGGAACCTCGATAACTCGAACCTCGAAGAAAATTCGGCTTACAAAGCCTGTGTACGACCGTCAATTTTTCGACTTGGAAAGATAAACACGAAAAATTCTCGACTATATAGAAAGATAAATTCGAGTTCATTCGTTTCAGGCTCGCAAAGACATAAATAACCAACGATCCGTTAATTGTTGATGATCGGTTTATATCGATCGATAATATTGACTTATTTATTTATTTGATTTTATTTATTGATTTTATTTGATTTATTTATTTGATTCTATTTATTTATTTGATTTATTTATTATCGGTAATTGATACGCGTGTTGATATTTCAATGTTATCTATAATCATTTGATAAAATTATTATCAACGATGTGTATCGAAGTTAAATGTGAGGTTTCATGTGAAGTTTCTCCGTTAGAAGTCGGAGCTTTTCTGATTTCGAGATGTAGAAGTAAAATACATAATTTAATGCGCGTTGAATGGTTCGAGTTGCGGAAGTTTTATTTCGCGATGTAGACGTTTCACTGCTGATCGAAAGGGAATAAAGAAAATTCTCTTCTTATAGAAGTTGTAGGTTCTGCTGTATTATATTTCGAAACAATTTTTGTATACATTTATCGATAACCATTCGAAGATTCAAAATCCAATGTGTCAGCCATTTTAAATAATTACATGTGCGGGGACATCGCAGTAAAGACAAAATTCGGAAATTCAAAGTGGAACCAATTGATCTCAGAATTCATTGTGTGGCATGACAAAACAGGTTTGGATTAACGTTTTGTATATATATATAAATATATCAATAAACGTGTTTTCATTATTTAAATAATTCCTAAATCCATGTACGAATGGCCCAATATTTAAATAACCATTCGAAGATTCAAAATCCAATGTGTTAGCCATTTTAAATAATTACATGTGCGGGGACATCGCAGTAAAGACAAAATTCGGAAATTTAAAGTGAAACCAATTGATTTAAGAATTCATTGTATGGCATGACAAAACAGGTTTGAATTAACGTTTTGTATATATATACATATATCAATAAACGTGTTTTCATTATATTGAAATAGTTCCAAAATCCATGTACGAATGGCCTAATATTTAAATAATTTTTAACCTTGGAGAAGGCTCTGATGAAATTATTAGTAATGTTAGAGGTGGAATGTTTCATATCGGTGCTTAGATAATTATGCAGTGCTAGTATCTGCTACTTTGAAAGTTATGCAAGACTAGAGCGTTATACCTGGAATACTGGAACGTTCTGTGACCGACCCAATGCGACCGTGGCCGGACTGAAACTATCAACGATTTTTCAAACGCTTCCGACGATCTGTTAATAACAATTCATTTCCAACGAAATTTTCATCGGTATTAATTTTTCTGCAAACTTTAATATATAAAATCTCAGGAATAAAATTTTCGTTATAAATAAATAGTTGAAGTCACTTCGATTATTTTAATATTAACATATATTTTATACTTGATAATATTACAGCTGATGCCGAGAAGAAAATTCAATCACCTATCATATTATGAACTTAACCTTATAACTTCATTTCATTCATTCCTTTATTCGCGGGAAAAACTCTTTGGCACAAAAGAATTTTATACCGGGGGAAAAAGAAAAGAAAATTTGCACGAAGAAAATGTCGCATATAGTTCAATTATTACAGGGATTGTTCATTCCCAGGGATTAATCGTTCCATTTATACAATTCTGAGATATCCATACGTTGCATAATGGTTATCAGAATAAAACGGTGCACGATTCCTGAAATGTTTCAATGGTGCACACAAGGAGAACAATTATTGCATAATTACTGGAGCTGAAATGTGACTTCTGATTACGTTACAGTAAATTCTCTCTAATTTTCCTCGAGCTTGCAAACAAAAATAGACAACTTGGAAAGAAGAGATACGATTATTGGATATTTTATAATTGTTGATATAGAAATATATCAATATGACATTGTTGCGAATCACTCCGTTTCTCACGCGTCGCAGCATTTTATTTACAATAAAGAATATAATCTATAATACAACTCAATACAATTATATTTCAGATCTTTCAATTTGAAATGTTGCTCGTTCGACTGTTCGATTTCGACTCTTCGATCGTCCGTTCGACGCCCTTCGAACCCCTATCTTCTATTATTTTTTAAGGAGTTGTTCACAATAGGGCAGGTTCACATTACAGCGACTTGATTTGGACAAGTCGCCGTAACAATATATATATATAAAAATAGTAACCTCGCGGTTTATTTTTATAGATTATGTAGATAGATTTATATATATATAAATCTATCTATATATAATATAGAGAGAGAGAGAATAATATATATAAATCTATCTATATAATCTATAAAAATAAACCGCGAGGTTATTATTATTATTATATATATATATAAAAGTCTATCTATGTAATCTATAAAAATAAACCGCGAGGTTATTATTTGAATAGTTGCCGATTGCAAACGATTATAAAAACGAGTTGCAAGGCTCGAATAATCGCACATCTCCCCTTCCCAAATTCTGTCTACAAGCTGAAGGAAAATCGGAGCGAATTTGCTGTACTTGCAAACAAACTATCAGCGATTTATCATCTATCGCGCAACGTTCGAAGATTTGCAACTTCAAGTAAAATAACGTTAACCCTCCAGCCCATTGCGCGAGGGTTTGGAACACGCTATCGCGATGTTCCCGGTCCGGCGAATCAGTCCATCGCGATCACATTTCCGTGTCATATCGTGGCGTTCTTGGTCCGATCAAATCCATGTACATGTGTGCGCATTGACGAATGCGGTCGCGAATGCATGGATGTGTTGGCTGACCAAGACCGGACCGGAAACAGCGCGATAGCGTTTTTCGGGGGCTAAACGATCCCTCGCCGGGGTGTCTCTATCGGGTAGAAACGAGCCGGGTACGGCGGCTCGGCCAAATGGCCCGATGACGTGCAACGTCTGTTAGCGGACCTGGGCCGGGTTTCTGTCCGTGCGCTCCCCAGCGGTGCCAGGTGCGATGGCCGAACGAACGGTATAACGATGTAACGGTGTAACGACGCGAACGGCTGCCGCATTGCCGATGTCGTGCCTGCCGTAACTACGGTACGCGGGGTACGTGTACCCTCGTGCACCCACGCCGCCGACCTCTGGCTCTCTCAAGGGGTGGACGACTTATCGACCTGGTGCAAGTCAGGCCTACCACCTTTATCTCATCGGTACTCGAATCGCGAAATCTGGTACGCGAGTACTCGATCTCTCGCCGTGCCGTTTCCTCCCACGGGCTCTAGCACCACACGTCATCGTCGGTCGAAGATCGATCTCTCGGGAAGCGGCGGCGTGGCTGGTACCAGAGGAAGAACGCCGGAGACGGCCGAGGAGTTTTTCGGGTATCGAAAGATCCGGAGCATAGTCTCCGTGCATTCTACTCCGTGGCTGGTAGAGCCCGCACCCCCTCCCTCCGAACGGGGGAGTACCTTCGCAGTGTTTGACGAGAGACCCTTGTCCTTCTAGGTCGTCTCTTAGAGTGTTAGCGAATCAGGCCGCGACCCCGTCGTCGCCGTCGTCGACGTCGTAGCCGCGGACTCTCTGCGCCGGTGGTTGCGACGCGAAATTAGAACGTTGCATTCGTGAGGGTCGTCGCTGTCTCGCCCCCGTGCCCGTGCCGAGTCAGGCCATCAATAGGAATAATACGAGGAACCATGCGATGCGGCGGCTCCGGCATAGGTAGACGCGAGTGTAACGACCTTACACCCCCGCAGGTAGCGAGATCGATGGGCTCTCCGACTCCGGGCGAAAGCTCTCATCTACAGCTCCCACCGTGTGCTGTGCCGTGCTGTCGGCCGACTGTGCTCGACCGTGCTGCCTTGTGCCTATGCCTATGCATGCTTATGCCTCTGCCTACCGCCGGCTGACTGTGGCTGGCCTGTCCCACTTTTCTATCACGTTTCACCACTACCAAGCACCGAGTACTTTGGTTTTGCGCCTTACGACCGCTATTCACCGGCTCGATGGCCGAACTCTCGCAGCCTTCCACAAATACAATAGTTCCGTTTCTAGGCTGCGGTGATCGTTCGGCCAAGTCCGTGTTGCTTTAATAATAACATCAAAAATGGGAAACATGGTCGTGCGGGACTTAGGGTACGACGACGGGCCAATGAAAACACGTTCGAACAGTGTGTGATTTTCTATTTTATTTCTCTCTTTTTTTTTCTTTTCTTTTTATTTCAGCAGGAAATAATACGCTAATACTGGCTGCTCCGTGTGCACATTGATACGGCAAACACGTCACTGGGAAAACAAGTGCGTGTTTGCTTCGAAACGAGGACATGGCGTTTTAATAATCATCGAGTAGTCCGTGGAAAGGTCGGCTTATTGTAAGGATGCCTTTATTTAAATGCGTTGCGCGTGTATAATAGTACGATCGCCTAGAAAACGTCTATAAAAAGTCCTCTCTAAGAATTTCATTCTATAAAAAGGGGATCGCGCGTTTTTCCGAAATTTTTCATCTCCGCGCCGACGACGTGCAGGCTCGACCCGGATCGATCGCAAAAGAAACATAACGTAACCGAAACGACGTTGTACGCGTGAAAGTTGATTTAAAATAGCGCGCGCGGGATTTTGAAAAAATGTGGATCCGACGAACGCACCCAGCGTCGGATCGATTGATCGCGTGCAATATTCATAAATATTGAAGATAACGTTTAATGGAATAAGATCATTTACCTCTGAACAGTTAAACTAAAATGCTATTACTAGAGGCAACGTTCGGCGCTGCCTGTTAACCCCGCGAAATCCTATTCCGCTCCCTAAATAACGCAGACGTATAATTTCATCGATTTACAATGATTCGTTGCGACTGTAATTTTGTCACGCAGTCACCGATCTTCGTAGCGCTCGCGCAGATTACGGTAAATTCCCCCCGATTGTCCTTCGACTCGCGAACGTAATTTGGACAATTTTTTGTAATTGTTGACGATCGGCGACTATAAAAACGAGCCGCGAGGCTCGAACAACCGTGAGACAATCGTGTCTCCTCTTCAGAAATTGTCCATTTTTGTCTACAAGCTGAGAGACAATCGGGGAGAATTTAGAGTAACTGCTAAAAAAAATTATCACATAATTCTAAGTAAGATCCTACTATGTTTTCTCTTCTTTTTTCTCTGAATTAAAATTATCACATACGCGGGTTTCGACGTGCGGACAGAATCTACATGTCCAAGTCGAATATTAGATCGTTTTTGAACTCCGCTTTGACCGTGTCCTTCGCGGTCCCCGTCGAATTGTCGCCGTGGATCTCGTTTAACGTCTCCACGTCGACGTTCGCTTTTCGTTTCACCATGGTGCGATTATCGTTCTCTCCCTTCTTGATCTCGATGTTGGCAGTTTTCGGTTGGGCCGATTGTTTCTCTCGATTAAGTATAGGTTTCATAGTCTCGGAGGCCTCGGCGCTCTTCGCGACCGTCTTGTACTTATCTCTCTCCTCCGTCTCCGAGTTTTCGCTCTCGCTCATTCGACGATCGTGCGCGCGTTTCTTGTTCCGTAACTTCCGCTGGTTCTTCTTACGCTGGCCGAGAATACTGGAATTCGATCTGGAAAACGAAATCCATGAGACCTCTCCTCTCGGAATCCGCGTTCTATCCAGAACTGGGTAAAATAGTATCTTAAATGGAAAATAAATATTTTATTTTAGATCGTGCATGTATTTTTGTAAATAAAATATTTTATTCGCTCGAAAGATTGTACTTCTGAAAAAAAGTAAAATATTTTATCCGTTGTGTGTGTAACCCAGTTTTAAGATAATATTACGAATAGCGCGCTGAAAATATTTGTGTCAAGGTCGGTATAATTCATTTATTTAATCTATTATCGTGAAACAAAATTTTAAAACGAACAAAGTGTGTTTTCTGTGCATTATAAATGTGCATAAAAGATGCACTTTTACCACATGCGAATAGCTGCATTTAAAGAGACAATAAATTCCATTTGCAAATATTATGACTTCTGACGTTATCTCGTTTTACATTACGTTCATCGTTTTCACAATTTATTTTCAGGTTACGAACTTTTGGAAGTATTTTATGCTTTGTGTTATTGAAATAAAAAATATTTTATTTTACGTTTCTGACCACCAAAATAAAATATTTATTTTCATGCTTTAGCTTTAAATTAACAAAATAAACTGCTTTATTTTACGTTTTACATGATCAAACTTAAATATTTATTTCGTGCTAAATATTTATTTTCGTGCAAATACTGTTTCGTTTGATTCGTGGACAATCTCTATTATTTGAAATAGTATCCCAATACTATTTTAGTTCCTAAAATAGTATTTCAACTCTGGTTCTGTGCCTACGAATACAGTAAATTCTCCGGAATTTTCCTTCAGCTTGAAAACATAAATGGACAATTTTTGGAAGAAGAGATACGACTATTCGAGCTTCGCGGCTCGACAGCTATAAAAACGAGGCGCAATGTTCGAATAATCATATCTGCTATACCCAAATTGTTAATTTTTGTCTTCAAGTTAAAGAACAATTGGGGAGAATTTACTGTAATACCTGAATAATTGCCGGGACACAACGTCGTTGAATCGCACGGTCTTCTTTAGACTGGAACAGTCCGACTCGGAGTTGAATTCCTGCACCGAGTCGTAATTGCAATCTATCGACGACATCGGCATCCCGTTTTCGTCGGCGCTCGACTCCGATACTGAACGCGAAAATTCGTGAGAGCGCCGCGATTTTAGAATACCTTTCGCGAATGTGCCCGCACCGCTAGAAAGACTATTACTTGACAACTCGTCCCCGCTGCTCTCTGAAACAGATCTAGCTTTTGGCTTGGCGTGCCGCCGACTCTGCCGACGTTGCGTAGACTTTGTACTCTGTTTGCTGTCCTCCCGGTTGTCCTCGTCGTCGGAATCGCATTGATTCGAGCTAATGCTAATCACGACACCGTCGTCCTCCGTCTGCACCTCGACCGTTTGATCCTTGTCCAGATCGCCATCATCCATCTCCTGCGAGCAAAGACGAATAAAACAGTGTTCACAAATGCGCGGACGAGTGTTCTATAATTACTGGGAACGCGTTAACGCTTTGACTCAGATTTGAAAATTAATTTTCGCGCGTATTCTTCCTATTTTAGGAAGAATTTTAGAAAAGTAACTGACGGTCATATAACTTCACTTTCACATTTTAATTTAATTAAATGAGACGTTTTGAATCTATAAAATTTTGCGAGGTTGTTGGCGCGACAGTCAAAGCGTCAAATCGACCAACCCACCGTCAATTCCTTCAGCTGATTCTTAAAAGTCGTGGCAGTAGGGAAATCTTTCTCCTCCATGAACTCCTCGTCTATGCCGACATAATATCTCGCCAGGTATTCCGTATTCTTCAACGCGACGGTGAACACGATGTTGTTGTCCCACGGTTCGATAACGAGGGACTCAGGCTGCACAGAATCCTTGTATATTTTTAAACAAAACGAATAGTGCTGCGGATAAAATCCTGCGCCTACGGACGTTAACGTGACGTGTATACCTAAGTTATTTTGCAAAATCCTATGGCGAATGGAATTCGGATCGACGTTCTTTACATTTACGGTGATGGCTAATTGATTATCGTATATATTACAAGTAAACGCTGGCAGTGAATACTTAATGCTAGGGTTTGTAAACACGTCTGTGGTCTCTGTGTTACTAGTCCGTAATGCAGTGTCACCGTAACTCCCCACACGTTCACTTCCCTCCTCTATTTTCGGACTCGCGAACACTGTCTCGCATTTTTCGACCAATTCGTTGCTGGAATCGCGCGACGGGCTCTGCTCCGAACAATCGTCGACGGAATCCGCGTCGAACAGCGGTATGGGGCTCTCGTGATCGCTGTCGACACCGCTGTCTTCTCTGGCATCGGACACAGACGCCGTTGGTGGAATGACCGGCAACGTAACAACCAGCTTCTTGTACTTCGGGTCGAATTTCGCGTTTCCATTGTCCGGGTCCACCCGGTAGGGCAACGGAAGGTCCAACAAATACTTAGCAGGCTTCTCGCTCTTGATACTTAAGAAATGCTCTTGCACATCCAGCGATGCATCGGAAGCAGTTTTGAGCAAAGGCAGATCTACGTTGACGACGAGCCTCTTAGGCACCGTAGCATTCATCTTGGCGTCTCTGCTGGTAGAAAAGTCCTGCAATTCTATGTCCGACTGGTGTTTGATGGAAAACTTTGGGGTAGCGTAGTTATTGTTCGAGTCTTGGTTGGCCTCCGGTTTGTCTTGATAGTACACGGTAGGTGGAGGCACGCGCTGTGGCTTCTCGTCTAACCTCTTGGCTCGCTGCTCCCTCTTTCGATCGTAGTCCGCCATTAGCTTCTGGTAAATCTCTGGCTCCAGGTCCAACTGTTCCTTCGCAGGCTGCTCGGAGGGTTTCCTGATCACCGATGGCTGCGACACTCCTTTGTAATTCATTTTTGGAAATCTGAGATTCTTTCTGTCCAGCTTTACCTGAGGGGTCGGGAAGCGAGTAATTAAAGAGCTCGAAGGGGTCCGGAAACTGTGGCGGTTTCTCCTTACCTGAAAGTTGCTCTCCACACCGTCCATGGCCGTGTTGTTGACGATCTCGCGGAACCGCGCGTTCTTCGACGCCAGATAGATCGTGTCGGGATGGAAGACCACGTCGAAGACCATGCAGCGCACATTTTTCTTGTCAAGGTCGTCCCGCGGCGGTATCAGCGTGTACGGGATGGACCATTGCAGGCCCCGGTGACCTTGCTCGTAAGAAGGCTGGCTGCTCGGCCGTGCCACGATGTCACTCTTGCCGATGTTCAGGAAACATTTCCTGTTGCCGTTCACGCTGGTTTTAATGACGTAACCGGGCTCCGGGTTAACGAACGTAACGTCGACGCCCCGCTCCTTCTCCAACTGCGTGATCTCCTTCTCGTAGAGCTTCCTATTTTCCGGGTCGGTCACCTCCTCGGCGTACTCGATCAGCAATTTCCGGAACTCCTCCTTCTTCAGGCACTCGGTCAACGTGTTCAGCTCTTCCTTGGTCACCTCCAAGTCTTCCCAGTCTTTTCTACGTGTTTCGTACGCGTCCATCTTACGAAATGATGTCGCGTGTTTACAAATAAACTGATAGCTTATAGGTAGAAAGATCGCGAAGCTCTTCTGTACCACGTGGATGGCTGCGCCAACTACGCCGGCCGGTCGAACGACGGTCAAACGCGGAACTTACAAACGCCAAATGGCGTGCACGCCATCTCGTCTTCTATCGAACTGTCTCGGATGCCACCCTTTCCCGGCGATTCACCGGACACCCCTAAACCGGATCGCCGCGACTAAGGTTTCCTAGGGAACGAGACCTTCGTTCCGCGCCTGCCAGGTACGGGTGCCGCACCTGCCGAGGAGAGAGAGAGAGAGAGAGAGAGAGAGAGAGAGAGAGAGAGAGGACGACCGTCGGTGCTCGGGACCCGGGACTCGGCGCGACAGCGCATTCGAAATTCTCGTCGCGCATAGTAGAAATGCCATTGCACCGATGCATCCGTGCTCCTCCTCGGCGAGGCTGCATCCGCGGTGCACCGAAGGTCAATAGAAATCATCGGCGGTCACGATTGGCCACGATCCCGATCCAGCTTCCTTTCACCGTGGCCGACTCGGGTCCGCGCGCGCGGCGAGCGTTTTGCATACGCCGATAGGATAATCGCGGGATCGATAAGCCCCGGGCGCTAATCAACTAATGAATGTCGGAGCGCCGGTTAAATCGGGACACCCCGTATTCCCCGAAGAAGCGGTCCCGCGTCTTAAACGCCGGACGGGAATACATAATAATTGATCGGCCTTACGGGCCGAACGAAATCCCACGGATAATTACGCTGGAAGCCGTGTGTTTCTCATACGCGAGCGGGCAAACGCGCCGATGGAAAAGCCGAGTTTCCCTTTTCGCGAATCTCACGCTCTTGGTGGGAGTTCAGGTGAAGATGTGGGGATCAAGCCGGTACCGAGTCTCTGACCCACTGACATTCTCTTCAGTTTCTTCGTAGACACAAACGCCGATAATTCGTGACTGGGAAGTCCGATGTCGGTGATCGGGATCGCTGGTCGATTATTAACGAAAGGGAAAGGACAACGGTCGCGCACCAGGATCGGCCGAAATCGCGCGTTGACATGCGTATAAACCGGAGATTTCTGACCAGCGTCGCAGTTTGCTCGACAGTTCTCTTCGTCGTCCTTAGATCGAGACAGCCCGTCGTCGAGTTCCCGAGCGATCCGAAGAACCGCGCGGATAGACGTTCCGTGGAACAACGAGAGATCGATAAAGTCCAGGTGATCCGCTTTCGTTTCGTTTATGCGAGTTTCGTTGTGACATCGGGGGGGTATTCTAGTCTGGAACACGTTCTGATTCCCTTTCATTTCGTTCGAGCAAGTTCGTTGTGTCTTTTAAGGGGTACTCTAGTTTAGAACACGTTTTTTCGGTTTTTTTAAATGAAGTAACTATGCAACTTCTTGCATCGGATATTTTTAAACGTACTTGTTACTCTTTCAACAATATTTACAAATTTTTAGAACGAGAAATAGTCAGAACTGGGGGTAGTGCAGAGCAATCGTGCATCAAAGAGCTGCCCTTATGGTTGTCGTGATTCCGACCGTTCCATTTGTCTGAGACAGAAAAACAAGAAATATTTGTAACAATAATAATGATATTTATTGAGATATATGAGGAGGAAACTTCTTTGTTACAAAAAGTTTAAGAAGATTTATAGATAATAGAAAGAAAGAAAAAAGAAAGAAATATAGTGTAAAAAATGGAAAAATAAAAATAAAAAAGAAAATATAATTCTTAATCAGGCTGCGTTTGGCTATCGCAGGAACCACGAGGGAAGACAGAAAATTGATAATTAAAAGAATGTCTCTTTAGCTTCAGTAGCCTAAAAAAGATTTTCACTTCATTGTGGCTCGGACTATAGCAACACACGTGCTGAAGGTACACACCAAATGCGAATGAAATCGGTCGAGTAGATCTTGAGATACCATGACAATCAATACAAAATGCATAGCTTTGAGAAAAACGCGTTTAAAGTTATCTTGACATAACCTTACAGCTAATCTGCCAGTCGAGTCGATCTGCATGGATCCTAATATGTTCTGGATCCCTTTTATGCCCTTTTTATATATATATATAATAAAATAAATAAATAAATATATATATATATATATATAATAAAATAAATAAATATATATATATATATATATATATATATATATATATATATTTATACATATATTTGTACATATATTCTCCTGCTAAAGATTCGGCCGAATGTACAAGTTCATCGATTTCTCGAATCCAACGATATCCTCCGGTGGAAATATTTTCGAATGCGTATTCACAAAATGCCATAAAAGAAAATCAACGTTCGAATTCGATGTAAATTCTCGCGACGCGGCGCAGCATTTTCCGAAAACAGATCGCACCGGTTCCAGTTAGCTTGGCCGCGCTTGACGCAGTGAAAGTATGACGCAGCGAAGGAGGATGTAATTGTTGGAAAGTGTTATTTTCCTACGCGGCGTCTGGAAAACCAGTCCGCCGGAAAAACCNTATATATATATATATATATATATATATATATATTTATACATATATTTGTACATATATTCTCCTGCTAAAGATTCGGCCGAATGTACAAGTTCATCGATTTCTCGAATCCAACGATATCCTCCGGTGGAAATATTTTCGAATGCGTATTCACAAAATGCCATAAAAGAAAATCAACGTTCGAATTCGATGTAAATTCTCGCGACGCGGCGCAGCATTTTCCGAAAACAGATCGCACCGGTTCCAGTTAGCTTGGCCGCGCTTGACGCAGTGAAAGTATGACGCAGCGAAGGAGGATGTAATTGTTGGAAAGTGTTATTTTCCTACGCGGCGTCTGGAAAACCAGTCCGCCGGAAAAACCGCGGACGATGTTTTCGGAGATTTTTCCGACCGGCGGCGATCTCTGACACGATTTCTTGCGCAGACGTATCGATATGTCACGCCTTCCCTCGCGGAGCTGGGTCCTCGCCGAAGCGTGCCAAAAATGAACGCCGATATCCTGATGTTGACGCGGGTTCCCGACGCCGGTGCCGAACTGCTGGTCCTGATCCTGCAGCGTCTGCAGGGATACAACGCTTTCAAGCACATCAGATTGCCGCCGGGCGATCACAGGCTGCTCACGTCCCTGAAAGAGGTAAAGCCCGTTCGCCGGCCCGTAAGGAAAAACTCGCCCAAGTTCCATCGCCGCGCGCCGATCTCTCGGTCCGGCTGATCGAACGATACTTGCGGAATCGTTGCGGCATCGTTGCGGAATCATTACGGAATCCTTCGGACGTCGTCCTGAATAACGACGCTCTTCGAAATAGCGAAGTTAGCGCCGATTCGAACGGCGAACGTTAACGCCGCGGGCATGAATCACCCGGCTGATTCATTGATCGCATAAATCTGCGGCTAGTTTAATCACGGGGCATGGTCGTTGCACTTTGCGTTCACGTCAAACTCGGTTTTCGGTGTTGCAATCGAAGTTGCACCAGCTCCCCCGCTTTCATTAGAGCGACGGGGGAACGGGGCAGCTCCTATTTGGAGCATACCCGCCAACGATACGTTGCTACCGCGAACGACGTCGCGAGAGTCAATAAATATTAAAAGATTCAACGTATTTGGAGTACGGCGATCAATCATCCTGACGGTTCCGCCGGCCCGCATTGGCGTCCTCGGTCGCCCCGGCGAATAACGATCTCGTGCAAACGAGGCGAGCACTGGTTACACCGAGCGTTTCGCAGTCGATCGCCGAGATTAATATCGACCCTAATCCAATAACACAACCCCGTGAATTTAGCCCGGTGGGTGTAGCCTCTCAGGGATGGTTTAACCCTTAGCTGGTGCAAATTAAATATTGAAACTCGCGTAACCACTATCGACGGTCTCGGACACCGATAATGTTTGATGCGTTATCGTTGACATAACAGCGTTCAATGAAACATCAAAATCAATTGTTTTCGCGTAAACAATAGCGTATTAAAAGTATATATATCATATACTTTTCATATAATTTATATTACTTTTCATTATAATTTCAAGAAAAATTGTAAGAAAGCAATATTTTTAATACGCTATTATATATATAATAGCGTATATAATAGCGTATTAAAAATATTCCTTTCTTACAATTTTTCTTGAAATTATAATGAAAAGTAATATAAATTATATGAAAAGTATATGATATATATACTTTTAATACGCTATTGTTTACGCGAAAACAATTGATTTTGATGTTTCATTGAACGCTGTTATGTCAACGATAACGCATCAAACATTATCGGTGTCCGAGACCGTCGATAGTGGTTACGCGAGTTTCAATATTTAATTTGCACCAGCTAAGGGTTAAACCATCCCTGAGAGGCTACACCCACCGGGCTAAATTCACGGGGTTGTGTTATTGGATTAGGGTCGATATTAATCTCGGCGATCGACTGCGAAACGCTCGGTGTAACCAGTGCTCGCCTCGTTTGCACGAGATCGTTATTCGCCGGGGCGACCGAGGACGCCAATGCGGGCCGGCGGAACCGTCAGGATGATTGATCGCCGTACTCCAAATACGTTGAATCTTTTAATATTTATTGACTCTCGCGACGTCGTTCGCGGTAGCAACGTATCGTTGGCGGGTATGCTCCAAATAGGAGCTGCCCCGTTCCCCCGTCGCTCTAATGAAAGCGGGGGAGCTGGTGCAACTTCGATTGCAACACCGAAAACCGAGTTTGACGTGAACGCAAAGTGCAACGACCATGCCCCGTGATTAAACTAGCCGCAGATTTATGCGATCAATGAATCAGCCGGGTGATTCATGCCCGCGGCGTTAACGTTCGCCGTTCGAATCGGCGCTAACTTCGCTATTTCGAAGAGCGTCGTTATTCAGGACGACGTCCGAAGGATTCCGTAATGATTCCGCAACGATGCCGCAACGATTCCGCAAGTATCGTTCGATCAGCCGGACCGAGAGATCGGCGCGCGGCGATGGAACTTGGGCGAGTTTTTCCTTACGGGCCGGCGAACGGGCTTTACCTCTTTCAGGGACGTGAGCAGCCTGTGATCGCCCGGCGGCAATCTGATGTGCTTGAAAGCGTTGTATCCCTGCAGACGCTGCAGGATCAGGACCAGCAGTTCGGCACCGGCGTCGGGAACCCGCGTCAACATCAGGATATCGGCGTTCATTTTTGGCACGCTTCGGCGAGGACCCAGCTCCGCGAGGGAAGGCGTGACATATCGATACGTCTGCGCAAGAAATCGTGTCAGAGATCGCCGCCGGTCGGAAAAATCTCCGAAAACATCGTCCGCGGTTTTTCCGGCGGACTGGTTTTCCAGACGCCGCGTAGGAAAATAACACTTTCCAACAATTACATCCTCCTTCGCTGCGTCATACTTTCNTCTTGCAATTTTTCTTACAATTATGAATAAGAATGGACAAGTAATTAGCAGCGATCGCACAGACCGCCGATAGCAGTCGCGGGTTAAAGATGGTGTGGTCCGCAGGAGCTGTTAGTGGAGGAGATCACGAACATAATGAGACAGGAGGCGATTCCTCTGAGTTTCGACGGGGACGTGGGATTCTTGAATTTCTCGAAATTCGGCCGACAGCCGCCGTCCTTTATCGCCCTCGTGAGAAATCCTCTGCGCGTTCGGAACTTGCTGAGGTAAACATAGCGCGCGCGGCTCCGCGGCGTTTAACGGTCCAAACAGCATCGCATATTAATCTGTTCCGTTTGCAGGTACCGTGAAAGACGAAAAGAAGCAGGACTCGCGAGCCGAGCTATTCCGACGTTCTGCGGACAAGATCCGCGATGCACGTAAGTTCTAATAAAAGCGTATAGTGTGTTTCTCCCGTTGTGCAGCCGTGAGAATGATGACGAGCGAAATCCGTTTTTAACGCCGCCGCGCGTTCGTTTATCCCTCCGTAACGTCGCGAAATCTGTGTGATTTATAGAGCGATAAACAACAAGTGGGCATTGCAGCGTGCCAAAGCAAACATAATCGAATGGTATCCGGTCGTCGGTATTCTGGATTGCATGGAGCAATCGATAAACGTACTCGAACAGAAGTTTCCATACTTTTTTCGCGGGGCTAGGCGGATTTACAGTCAGATTCGTAAGTAAACGCGATGCGAATGTCGTACACCAGGGGTGTCAAACTCGCGGCCCGAGATGAACATTTTTGATGTCAAGTGTCAGGACGTGAACAATAATTTAACTTTATATATGTTTATTACAATTTATTACAATTATTACAATTATTAATTTATTACAATTATTACAACAAAATAAAAATATTTGTTTCTATGAACATTGATTTTCCTTTCTTTTGCGGCCCACCTAAAGTTAAGCATTGTTTATTTGGCCCAAGTTAGCTTTCGAGTTTGACACCCCTGTCGTACACGATCGTTTCGATCATAATTTTTCTGGTCTTCGTGGTCCAGGGCCGAGAAAGAAGAGCGTTTCCGATGCGTCGTGCTCGTTAAGGTCACGAGTGAGAGATGATCTGTCGAAACACTTCGAGGATGAGATAGAATTATATCGGTGGCTGAAGTTCCGACTTTTCAACGAGACGCTGAAGAGTGTTACGGACGCTTGACACCCGCTGATATCCATACCATAAATGGATAGTTACGAAATCGCACCAAAGATAATTTTTTATTAAATCTACTACGATAAGTTTCCATCGACCGGAACAGCGATGAAGAAGGTTTTAAATAAATAAATGAATGAATAAAGAAATAAATAAATAAATAAATAAGTAAATAAATAGATATCGCAGGATATTGCTGAGCACATTGCTTAGCACAATGACGGACTCCATCTGGGTATTTACGTCAGACTGCAACACAAAATTGCGTTGTCGGCTTTAAAAATACGATGTTTTAGCATTGAGTTAATAAAATAACGATAATCGCAATGAAAGCGTATTTGAGAAACAAATTGTGTCTCAATGCGCAAAATTTTCAATTGCAAATATTTTCATTAAAAGATTATGAGAATTTTCGCTAAAGTTGATTTTTAAAGTGATTCCTTAACACTTCCTTAACGCTATAAAACTTCCCTGTAGTATCGTTCGAAATTCATTGATTTTCCAACGTGATCTCAAATTTGTTTACAAACTTCAAATTGGTCTGTCATAAAGCACGATCTTCCTGCTACAATTTGAGACCGCAAAAGTTGATAAACTTGCACGCAAAGACTGAATAATTAATTTCAAACAAGACCCTTGCCCTTAAAAACTGTTCCACCACGTTCTTCAAACAGAAAGACGTGAACATTGTTGCAATCGGTAGCTTGAAAGCAATGTTTCTAGTCTCGAAATACTTCTGCAAATTGTACACATCAAGCTTGTACTACAGAATTCCATGATTATGGGCAATTATGGTGTTTTTCTTTAAAAGGAGCCTCCTCACGGGTGACGAAACCGACTCGCCGTCTAGCAGCGCATGCTGAACTAAAATTAGCGGAGAATACATGACTGTGCAGAAACATAGAACTTAGTATATCTATGACGAAGAGAAATATTCTACGTGCCTAGGAATATTCGGTAGAGTCTTCTGGATCGACGTCATGCAAGAAGTCTCGCTAGAATTCGCAGAGTAATGAAATAATTCACAAAATTTCACTGAAAACGCGGAAAAGTGAACGGTGGCGCCATCTAGCGGTGAACGCGGGAAGCTCGGAATTAGAAAGGAAATACAATTTGAAAACTAGTTGCTCCGATTCTATCGGAAATTGAAGGGCATAAAATCAAAATAAATGAAACCGTGCACTTTGAAATTTATTGGTTTAGGTTGAAAAATCTTATATCCAGATTCTGAATGATAAGGAAGCGTGACAAAAATACTCAAGAATTTTAACACTTTATTAAAAATCTGATGCACATATTCTGACATTTTACAAAAGTATTCTAGCTTACAAATAATCTCAAACTATGCCATCGTACATTCAATTTTACAATAATTAACGCCAAACTTATAAAACGTAAAAAAATATGTGTGTTGTTTTACGAGAACGATAAGGCTGAATTTATTTAGACTTTCCGTCATTTTTTATTACAACGTAGTATTAAATTAAGAAATCTGTTCAATCATTTTCTACAAAAGAGTCTTCGTAATTTCAATAAGTTTATAATCAAAAATTTGCGGTCAGTCATTCTGACCGGCACTGTTTCATCGTTGTGGATCGAATCCATTTGGACTCCGCGTATAAATGTTGTTGTTCGACTATCTAGTATCTGACAATTAATTTAAACATTCACATTTTTCATAAAGCTTTATAGAGAAGCAAACGTATCTTAAATCTAAAAAAAACGTGGTAAATTAAAAAGAAAATATATAAACTAAATTATAAACTGTACCAATCATATCAAGTTATATTTTCAACGAGAAAATTCGTCGAACGAGTGTTAATAGCAAATTTAACGCAATATACTCGATTCTTGCTAACATAAGAAACATAAATTCGTTTACGGCGGTAACAAACGAGTACGACTCGCGAATGGTAATGGGGTTCTAGAGTCCCAAGAAGAACACGCTCGTGTTACAAAACGCACGTTGTGTAATTGTTCTATTTTTATACCATCTCTGTGCTCATTGTATTCTCTATTCTCCATTTATACGAATTTTAGTTCGGCTTCCGCCGGTAGACGGCGAAGTCGATTTCGACGCCTTTGGGGAAAGCCGTACACAATATGCCTCTGCCCATAGATAATGGGATCGCGCATTCGTTGAATTACGGGAATGAAAATGCAATGAAAATATTCAAGAACTCTTTTACTTTGTTCATTGTTCACATCTTCCTTCGCTTTCGCTGGTAATTCACAATTACAAAAGCAGGACGCTAGTTATTTTACGAAGCTGGCTATCGTTTATGTACACTTAATAAGATTGAAGCGTAACATTTCTGCGGGATCGATGTTCACAATAATAAAAAAAAAAAGAACAGTGTTGCGATTAGTTCGGAGTCGGTCGTCGCGACACCGACACGACAAGGGGCTTACGATCGACTATTTTTTTATCGTTTAAATAAAGGCCTCCAGTGTTCACCCTGTGATCAAATACGCAACTATGTTTATTTTTGATGACTGGTCATTGTCGCAAAACGATCGCGATCGATGATCGAGGGGAGGTGGGGGGGGGGGGGGGGGGCG